AGCAGGAGGCTTGGGTTGCTCCCGGCGACAGAGGAAGCCAAGCTTTCCACCAGCCCTGGACTCCACTCAAGGAGGGGCTGGGGGCCTGGGCTCCGCTCAAGGAGCTGGAAGAAAAAAAAAGGAGGGGCTGGGAGCAGCTGGAGCGGAGAAGCCAAGCCTCGCTGCTGCGGCCAGACCAAAGGCCTGGGTCCCAGGTGACACAGGAAAACTGGTGCCGGCAGCCAGGGGAAGGAAGGCCTATTGTGCGAATCTTCGTGCAACGAGCCACTAGTTAAAATATAAACAAAATTGGCAAATCTTTAGCTAGACTAAAACAAAAGAAACAAGACTGAATACAACCACATCAAAATTACAACTATAATACAGAACAACCATCATTTAGAACCACCTGAAGCTGGCTGAATGGAAATCCTACAACTAGAGAAGTAAAGAAAAAAGCACATTGAGACTGGTAGGAGGGCAGAGGCCTGGAAGGGGCTGGTCCGACACCCATGTTTTTTTAATCAGAATATCTCGGTTGCAGAGGCCCCCTGTGAGGAGCAAGGGGTCCCAGCCCCACACCAGACCCCCCAGTTCAGGGTTGTAGAGCTGGCAAGAGAAGTCCCTGTAACTTTAGGCTGTAAAAACAAGCAGGAATTGTGGCTGAGTGATACGGAGGTTGATAGAGACCTGGGTGTTCATCTTAAAGGGCCAGTGCACAAACGTGGACACGATCCCTCTGAGCTCCAGTGTAGCATGGCTTTGGGGGATCCAGGGACATGCGGGAAGGAACTGGATTATCCAGCATTGGTGCAGGAACTCGGGGGTGGTTTTTTCCCTTATCCCATGCATCAAAAGGTTGCCTATTATGTTCTTGGTCAGGGCAAGTGCTGGGTTTGCAGGTTCCATCCCTGGTCGGGGGCATACAGGAGGCAGGCAATCAATGTTTTACTCTCACTTCCATGTTTCTCACTATCCCTCTCATATTTTTGTAAAAGTCAATTTCAAAATCTTAACAACCAAAAAAGAGCATAGTTCAAATTTGCTGGAAGCTTTTATTAAAAAAAGAAAAGAAAAAAAGATATTACACCTGACACTATGAACATAGAAAAAATGCCAAGAGCCCACTATGAACTTCTGAAATTAATAAACAAATTCAGAGCCCTAGCCAGGTGGCTCGGTCAGTGAAGAGTGGTCCCAATACCTGAGGTTGTAGGTTTGATCTCCCTTCAGGACAAATGCAGAGGGCAGTCAATGAATGCATAGATCAGTGGAACAGCAGGTCAATGTTTCCCTCTCTATTTCTGTCTATCTCTGTCTTCCTTCCTTTCTCTAAAATTAATAAAAAGTTTAAAGAAAAAATAAATTTGGAAAGGTTACAGGATGTAAAAATCAACACATAAACATCAGTTTCATTTCTACACATTAATAATAAATTCTTTGATAGAGAAATGAAGAAAGTAGTTAAGTCTGCAGTAGAATTAACAATAAAATACTCGGGAATAAATTCCACCAAAATGGTGAAAGGTCTGTACATCAAAAACAAGACAGTGATGCAGACCATACCAGATTATAACTCTACACATTCAGGAGCGACATACTCAAGAGGCAGACTCAGTGAGCACCAAAGCCCCACTGAAACAAGTCCTGCTCCCTAGGGGTATTTCTTACACAGCACCTCTTCCATTGTAGACACAGCTGGTCTTCACAGCCAATTGGTCTATAGGCCAATTCCTCCCAGTGAGGCCAACAGCAATCAAGGCTCAACTACAACAAGACTGTGCACACAGCCCACAAAGGGGTGCACCTAGAATGCCCAGCTCAGGTGAATGGGGAGGCTGAGCCACTGGGTCCTATAGGACACCTATTACATAAGGTCACGCTTCCAATTCCAGGAGACATGGCAGGTTTACCCAATACATAGAAATAAACACAGGGAAACAGCCAAAATGTGAAGACAAAGAAACATGTCACAAATGAAAGAAATGGAAGCAAGCAAGCTACTAGACACAGAGTTCAAAACAAAGGCTCTAAGGTTATTCAAGGACCTTAATGAGTGCTTTAAAGGACTTAATGAGAGCTTCAAGGGACTTAAGTGAGACTTTCAAGGATCTCAGTGAGAACATAAAAGACACACAAAAAAGACTAGTAAGAAATTAAGCATACACTAATAGAAATGAAGAATAATTTACAGGGATTCAACAGTAGAGGATTCTGAGAATCAAATCAACGATTTGAAATATGAGGAAGCAAAAAACACCCAACCAGAAGAGAAATAACTTACAAGTCCAGGATGCACAAAGAGTCCCAAACAAGAAAAACCCAAAGAGGCCCACACCAAGACACATCATAATTAAAATGCCAAGGGTTAAAGACAAAGAGAGAATCTTAAGAGCAGCGAGAAAAGCAGCTAGTTACCTACAAGGGAGTGCCCATATGACTATCAGCTGATTTCTCAACAGAAACTTTGCAGGCCTGAAGGGAGTGACAAGAAATATTCAGTGATGAATAGCAAGGACCTACACCCAAGATTACTCTACTCAGCAAAGCTCACATTTAGAATTGAGGGTCAGATAAAGAGCTTCACAAATAAGAAGAACCTAAAGGAGTTCATCACCACCAAACCACTTCCACATGAAATGTTGAAGGTTATTCTTTAAGAAGAGGAAGAGGAAGAATAAAGGATGAAGAAAAAATCTGAACAATAAAATGGCAATAAACACGTATCTATCAACAATTGAATCTAAAAATCAAAATAAACAAGAAATCTAATGAACAAAATAAAATGGTGAATAAAATATAATCAAGGGCATGGAAACATAGAACAGACTGATGAATCTCAGAGGGAAGGGGTAGGGGGCGGGAAGAGATTAACCAAAGATATTATATGCATTACCTATGGAAACAAACAAGACGATGGTGAAGATGTGGGGTGGGGCAGGAACCGGGTGGAGGGAAGCAATGGGGGGAGAGAAGGGGAAACATCTATAATACTCTCAACAACTAAGATTGTAAAAAAGAAACAGAAAAAAAGGTTTCAACATTAAAAAAAAAAAAGACTAAAATAAATTTAAAAAGAAATAAAAAGATTACAACTCAGCCCTGGCCAGTGTGGCTGAGTTGGTTGGATGTTATCCCATGCATCAAAAGGTTGCCTATTATGTTCTTGGTCAGGGCAAATGCTGGGTTTGCAGGTTCCATCCCTGGTCGGGGGCATACAGGAGGCAGGCAATCAATGTTTTACTCTCACTTCCATGTTTCTCACTATCCCTCTCACTATTTTTGTAAAAGTCAATTTCAAAATCTTAACAACCAAAAAAGAGCATAGTTCAAATTCGCTGGAAGCTTTTATTTAAAAAAGAAAAGAAAAAAAGATATTACACCTGACACTATGAACATAGAAAAAATGCCAAGAGCCCACTATGAACTTCTGAAATTAATAAACAAATTCAGAGCCCTAGCCAGGTAGGGGTGCTCACAGGGGTCATTGTTCCTGTGCTGGGACTTTCCACTTCCCAGGGCTAACTGTCAGCCATATTTGAGTCTCCATCAGTATGACTCACACTATTCACTCTGCCCTGGTGATGCCCTGAGACCCCACCCCATCCAATCTGCAGCCCCACCCACACTGTTTGCAGCTGCTTTTCCATATGAAAAGCCTGTTCTGGCTAAGGCTTCAGACTGTGCTAAAAACTCTTAAACAAGCAGCAACTGGAGTCAGCATACCCCAAACCTATCAATAAAAGGACCAAGATCCAGCACTAGCACCAGCCTACCTTGCTTCACAGCTCGGGCTCACCTGAGCACTTCTTAGCCCAATACAAATAGTAGCCATCTGCAGATCTCTTTGTAGTTCCTGCCAGGTGGCCTCAGGCAGAGGCTGACTTTGCATCTCCCTGGAGGACCCAGAGCCAGTGCCCCTGGTGGACAGCTTCAGACCATACCAGATTATAACTCTACACATTCAGGAGCGACATACTCAAGAGGCAGACTCAGTGAGCACCAAAGCCCCACTGAAACAAGTCCTGCTCCCTAGGGGTATTTCTTACACAGCACCTCTTCCATTGTAGACACAGCTGGTCTTCACAGCCAATTGGTCTATAGGCCAATTCCTCCCAGTGAGGCCAACAGCAATCAAGGCTCAACTACAACAAGACTGTGCACACAGCCCACAAAGGGGTGCACCTAGAATGCCCAGCTCAGGTGAATGGGGAGGCTGAGCCACTGGGTCCTATAGGACACCTATTACATAAGGTCACGCTTCCAATTCCAGGAGACATGGCAGGTTTACCCAATACATAGAAATAAACACAGGGAAACAGCCAAAATGTGAAGACAAAGAAACATGTCACAAATGAAAGAAATGGAAGCAAGCAAGCTACTAGACACAGAGTTCAAAACAAAGGCTCTAAGGTTATTCAAGGACCTTAATGAGTGCTTTAAAGGACTTAATGAGAGCTTCAAGGGACTTAAGTGAGACTTTCAAGGATCTCAGTGAGAACATAAAAGACACACAAAAAAGACTAGTAAGAAATTAAGCATACACTAATAGAAATGAAGAATAATTTACAGGGATTCAACAGTAGAGGATTCTGAGAATCAAATCAACGATTTGAAATATGAGGAAGCAAAAAACACCCAACCAGAAGAGAAATAACTTACAAGTCCAGGATGCACAAAGAGTCCCAAACAAGAAAAACCCAAAGAGGCCCACACCAAGACACATCATAATTAAAATGCCAAGGGTTAAAGACAAAGAGAGAATCTTAAGAGCAGCGAGAAAAGCAGCTAGTTACCTACAAGGGAGTGCCCATATGACTATCAGCTGATTTCTCAACAGAAACTTTGCAGGCCTGAAGGGAGTGACAAGAAATATTCAGTGATGAATAGCAAGGACCTACACCCAAGATTACTCTACTCAGCAAAGCTCACATTTAGAATTGAGGGTCAGATAAAGAGCTTCACAAATAAGAAGAACCTAAAGGAGTTCATCACCACCAAACCACTTCCACATGAAATGTTGAAGGTTATTCTTTAAGAAGAGGAAGAGGAAGAATAAAGGATGAAGAAAAAATCTGAACAATAAAATGGCAATAAACACGTATCTATCAACAATTGAATCTAAAAATCAAAATAAACAAGAAATCTAATGAACAAAATAAAATGGTGAATAAAATATAATCAAGGGCATGGAAACATAGAACAGACTGATGAATCTCAGAGGGAAGGGGTAGGGGGCGGGAAGAGATTAACCAAAGATATTATATGCATTACCTATGGAAACAAACAAGACGATGGTGAAGATGTGGGGTGGGGCAGGAACCGGGTGGAGGGAAGCAATGGGGGGAGAGAAGGGGAAACACCTGTAATACTCTCAACAACTAAGATTTTAAAAAAGAAACAAAAAAAAGGTTTCAACATTAAAAAAAAAAAAAAGACTAAAATAAATTTAAAAAGAAATAAAAAGATTACAACTCAGCCCTGGCCAGTGTGGCTGAGTTGGTTGGATGTTATCCCATGCATCAAAAGGTTGCCTATTATGTTCTTGGTCAGGGCAAGTGCTGGGTTTGCAGGTTCCATCCCTGGTCGGGGGCATACAGGAGGCAGGCAATCAATGTTTTACTCTCACTTCCATGTTTCTCACTATCCCTCTCACTATTTTTGTAAAAGTCAATTTCAAAATCTTAACAACCAAAAAAGAGCATAGTTCAAATTCGCTGGAAGCTTTTATTTAAAAAAGAAAAGAAAAAAAGATATTACACCTGACACTATGAACATAGAAAAAATGCCAAGAGCCCACTATGAACTTCTGAAATTAATAAACAAATTCAGAGCCCTAGCCAGGTGGCTCGGTCAGTGAAGAGTGGTCCCAATACCTGAGGTTGTAGGTTTGATCTCCCTTCAGGACAAATGCAGAGGGCAGTCAATGAATGCATAGATCAGTGGAACAGCAGGTCAATGTTTCCCTCTCTATTTCTGTCTATCTCTGTCTTCCTTCCTTTCTCTAAAATTAATAAAAAGCAAAACATAGAGAACTGAAATGCACAAATATGTCAATATATATTTATATACTGTATATGAGGCCCCTAGAACCATAATTAGTACCAAAGATTCACTGTTAATTCATTCTCGAGTTGCCCCCCTTAAAAATCAAGTTGCCCCCCTATGGGTTGTGTGCCCCACGTTGGGAACCACTGCTCTAGAGCCATATAGCAAATTCAAACTCTTGGACCCAACCCTCACCCTCCTGAGGCAGCAGGCGTGGGTTCCGCCCAGGAGTCTGGTCTGAGCAGCCCTCCAGATGCTTCTCCTGGTGCGAGTGAC